GTGCGCTGTGGCCGAAATATTTAACTCAGCTTTCAATCTGACCTTTGGATCGTAGAATAAGCGGATCCACTCCCAGTTGGCAATTAATTTCCGAAAAAATCAAAAAAAGTATCAATTAATTATTATGATGTAAAGATCGCATCTTGCATGGCCTGGCAGTCAACTTTTAAGCGAATTGGATGCCCGATTACTTCATGGTAGCGTTGCGGCCTAAGTCGTGGTTTTCCTCAGACCACTACAATCATCAGGTCGAATCGCAGATGGAAGGTAAAAGACAGGAGTCACCAGAATGAGAGCTTGACTGTGCACAGAATCCTGGGTCGCTGTCTCAGGCAGTACTGGCAAAGCTAGGGCAGGCGTTGACTGCATACAGTCATGAGCGAGAGTCTGCGTTTTTTTGAGATTGTGGAGCAATTTAAAGTGGTGTATCAGTATCAGTTTATTGAGGGAAAGATAGGCGAAGCCTTTGAGCTCCCTGTTGGTAACAAGATGATAGGAAATAAATGGATACAAAGAAAAAATTAAAAATTACGTTAATTACATGTTCCAGGAAGACACCAGAGTCAAATCATAAGAAAATGTGTCAGAAATATTACTACTCGCAAATCACGAGTAGTATAATTTGATGCAGTATGATTGGTGTGTTATATTTCCCGAAGGGTGCCGCGTGTTGAGGTCCCCTGCTGCGTGGCCGCGGCTTGGGGTGTTCAATTGGCTCTTGAGAAACCGCAACAAATTTGGCACGCGTGTGTGCGTACGTGCGTGCGAGGGAATACCGGTCAAGCGTTTTAAGATCAGCAAGTCTGAAGCAAATATTCCCATCAGAGAATTCAAAAGAGTATTTAGGGAGTGATCGCTTGTTTAACTTATACCTCGGCTCATATAAATGTATTGCCCTGACGAGAATTTATCGAAAGTATACGTACACTTGCCAAATACTCTTCTGGAGTCTGAAGTAGTTGCCTGTGAAGATGCATGAATTTGGGGCAGAGAGCCTTGGTGAACCAAGGGGGCAGGGACGCAGCATTATTGGCTGTCCGCGACAGTAGTCATGCTGACAAACGGTTGATTCTTTCAGTATCAATAATTTATAATGCCGTTTCACAAAAAATACGGGCTGAGCAATTTTCCACTATCAGCCGCCAAAGGATGCTGTTTGGA